TCTTGAAAGTGTTTCCATTGAATAATCAAATATTTTCGATTTAATATTTACAGTATTTTAGTATTCTTTCTTTTTTATCATAAACTGTTACACGTTTCACAGAATCGATAACCGATCCCATATCCGATCTCGATAGACTTGTCAAATGTTTAAAGTCGTATGTAACCACCAATTACCTTGTCAATGTCAGAGTTGATAAATTTAAATTAAGCAAAAACGTTTTTTTCGTCTTATCAATTTGTTGATCTAAGAAAATCATTTTTTTTTAACGTAATAACACATATACGTGCCAATATGATAATACTTGAGAGTGTATTATATTAAACAAGTATTATCATTTTCCTCTGAAAATGATGAAAGTACATCTATTCGTTTAAATTGAATTTTATTATTAAAATTTATGCACTTACTAAAATTAAAAGATTCTATATAATAAATGTCACGTTAACACAAACTTTGGTATACATAGAAATTTACGAAAATGAAATTAAAAATCTGGGTTAGTCGCTGAATAATGCTTTCGTCACGACCTCGTTTAGGTGAACCATAAACGAATAGGAACCACATATCCAGCGTACTGATTTTCTCGACTCGTTCAAGAATAAAGATCATTTTATCTGTTGTGAAATTATTAGATATAATACAATAACGTTCTAGTTTGATTTCACTCACACATACTTTCGACTTTTTTACTTTTTATTTTTATATATTAGAACGTGTCAGTTTTCTTTGTAAACAGAGACCAATCGACAACCTAGTGGGGATGGTTTTGATCGATCGATGTATTATCTTTTTTTCTTTTCATCGAATAATTCGTATAATTTTGATTTACACACACACACACCAGCTTTCCATAATTTTGAGCCGATCACTTTCGCGTCAATGATGAAACTTATGGATCGTTTAATAATCCAATTCATTACCTCATTGCATAGTTGGAAAACTGTAATCCTCGTTTCGACATACAATTTGATTAACCAGGATCGTTGCTGTTGAGAGAAAATCATTGAAAACTGTCGGACATTTTAAACATGTTCATAGTGTTTGTTAGATATGTAAATCAGTATAAATCATACAAGCTATTTAATGACCAGTAGAAAGTTGATTATATTAGGATTTAACATTTTTATGTTAATCTAATCGCAAGAACATTTCTTTTTTTTTTTCTTAAACGAGTTGTTACGTACCTTGATTTTTTCTTTTTCTTTTATTTTTTTTTTTTTTTTAAATCTAATCGTCTCGTCAAAATTTCATGAGGATTTAGAGGAACTCACTCCGTTTTGATAATAAAACCGAGAAAGAACCTACCATTTGCGGTATAATGTGGCAATAGATTTAAACGGGATTCAAGCGATAACACGTAAGTGCACACTCGTCGGAATATTTTCTCACAAATTACGTGTCCAAGTGTTTTGATTTGTCGATAAAAAAAAAAAGTAAAATGAAGAAAATACTCATAAAGAATTTAGTATATTATTTAGATATTTATCCAAACAGTTTATCCGCTTTAAAATATTGTAACATCATTTAAAAGAAAATATTTCTCATTTTTCCTCGTATAATTCATGTATATACATTTAAAAAAAAAAACAACAACAAAAAAAAAGATAAACATTTTATTTTATAGATTATCTTAATATTATCTACGAATACACAGGAGTTTGACGTAAACTCTCATAATTGAAGTTTGATGGAAGATTCTTTCTATCTGTTCAAAATTCGACTGGACGATACTACGGTAGGTACGCCGCCATGCAATTTACACTTTCGATGCAATTAACGGTTGGTAATATGGGACACGTTACCTCGAGGGAAATGTGCAGTAACAGCAGTTGCAACAACAACAACAACAACAACAAACAACAACAACAACAAAACAACAACAAGAACGAATGAACGTTTCTATCGTTAGAGTGTCCAGGACGAGGCAGGAAAACGTAAGAGTTTTTTTTTTTATCATTTTTTGCACCCTTGCATTTCTTTTTTTTTTTATTCATCGTACAAAAAGAAAGTAAATGCATTTTAAAATCACGCGACGATTTTTATCGTTGGTACAGTCACGACTACGGTGAAAATTTGTGTCGGTAAAAGTTAAATTTCTACAAACGTAATCAGCTCACATGATATACAAGGGTTGTGTTAAATTTACAGAAACATACATAAGTATACACATACATAGAAGATATATATATAAATGAACACTATATCCACGCGTTTACCACCCCACCACGAACATCGATAACCAAACGATCGCTAACGTTCGTGACTCTGTGTGTTTATAACATAAAGGGTGTCCAAAAAATATTGCCACGAATTTGAACAATCTTACCAATTTCATACGAAACATCGAATATTTGTAAATCTACACATTTTTATGATATGTTTCGTTTTTTGGAAAAATCGATAACATTATCAATCGATCGATCGGTCATTAAATTTATCTCTAATATTTCAATGAACACACCCTATAAAGGGATGAGGGTGAACATAAATGCGACATTCAAATAAATCATACGGACAGATAAACGTAAATCACCGTTCTACATATATCCCTATAATAGAGAATCGTCCCGATTCGTTGAAAATTACAGCATACTCGATGACATCCGTCTGTTAAGCGTAAAATGAATTCGCATTATCGTAATGAATTATTTTCTATATGCTTTTTCGAAGGGAGACATTTTTAAAATCGTTCTCTGTTATCAAAATGTACTTTACTATTCAATGATACTGATCACAACTTATTATTAAATAAAAGTAAGAGAAGTAAGATATTAAATAAAAGCATTGATCGATTTTACAAGGAAATAGAAAATATATTAAAGCTGACCAACTGATCTATTTCTTTTCTTTTCTTTTTTTTTTTTTTCAAATTTTGTCTCACAGATCGAACAATTTGGTATTGGGATTATTCGTTGAATTATAAATAATAAAAAAGAAAAAGAGAGTAAGACAGAGAATATAAAATTCGTACAGTGGTGTTAGAGAAGGATGGCCGCAATGGGGGTTCGGTCATAAAATTCAGCCTAGAAGCGAAAGTTTTAGCTGGCTAGCTCGAGCTTATGTGTGCAGAAAGTATGGATCGTGAGGTGTGTTGAGGAAAGGGGGATGCTGGTTGGACGAGAATTTTGGCGAGAGAGAGAGAAAAAATAGAAAGAAAAAGAGATAGAAGTATTGGTGTATGTATGTCAGAGAATGAGAGAGAAGGATTGGGTAATGTATTTGTATGAGTGAGAGAGAGAGAGAGAGAGAGAGAGAGAGAGGAGAGAAAGTTCGGTGAAACTTTTGCGTCAGACGAATCACCGGCAGGTTTGGGTCGGTAACTCGGATTAGCCACGTATAGTGATCAACTCCAGAGCGAGTAATTAAAACGGTGCGCACCTCCTTGCACTTCGACTTCGCGCCCCGTTTATTATATTAGAATGGAAAAGGTGGTCTTGGTCCCACGCGCGTTTTCCTTTATACCATCAAGGGAAAATAGATATCGAGTAGAATTTTGATGAAAATTATTTAAACCTTTAAACCAATTGCAAATAAATTAAGATAAACGTTTGAATGATAATAGAAACAAAATATTTGGTAGAAAATGTTTAGAGTTGTGAATACGTGTTTTTGTTCCTGCATCAAGGGAATATAGGTATTGAGAGTATAATTTTGATTAAAATTATTTAACCCTTTAAATTAATTCCAAATAAATTGAGGTAAACGTTTAGATGATAATTGAAACCAAATATTTAGGTTGCATACGTGTTATCTTTCTTGCATCAGGTAAAATAGATATTATGTTGAAATTTGTTGAAATATTTTTAATCGTTAGAACAATTAAAGAATTAAATATTTAATATTTTAATGAAATAACAAAAATTAAAAAAAAAATAGGATTTATGTCACATATGTGTTATCTTGTCTCGACCAGAGTACATGAATATCAAGTTGAGTCGTAATTAAATTTTGTAACAATTTAATATAAATGCAGTTTAAAATTTGAATAAAGCAATAAGAACGGAGATAAAAGGTGTAACGTTGAACATAACACTAAGTTAAATAAATAAATAATTTATTTAATTAACATTTATACTAATTACACTATAATAATATAAAAATTGAAACACACACACACACACACACAATTGAATATAAAAGAAAATATAGATAAAAAATATAAAAGAAAGAAAAATAAAATAATACAACAAAATAGTATACATAGGAGATATCATGCGAAAGACATAAGGGTAGGTAGGGGAAAAGAATTCGAGCAAGTGAGCAAATATTGAAAATTCTCATTCATGCATTATCGCTCGCCATCTGTTCCCTTCGTTTTCCTTTTTCCCCCTTTTTTTTTTTTTACTTTTCTTTCTTCTTTTTTTTTTAACAATATTTTTTTTCTCGTACAAACAACTGTGTGGAAAACTGGTCGGCAACTAGCATGGGAGGCTTTGTCCGATAGTCATTCGCTTGATAAATACAGACACGCTTTACAGATCGCATTCGATTTTACATCCCTTCTTTTTCTTCTTTGAGAGATTCTTTTTCTAGAAATATTATCAAATTTCACAATTCAATGTTCACTGTTCAAAATTTTTATCAAAGCAAAATTATTAAAAATTCTGCTTTTGAATAACCTAAATATCATCTGTACACACGTGAATACAAAACTTGCAATTTCTTTTATTTTTTTTTTTTTGTATTTTTATGTTATAAAACATTGATAATAATATTTTGAATAATCTATCATCAATGGAATTTAAATTTATTTCGTTGATAAAAGTTTTCATTTTAATAGATACAATTGTTTTCTCGTTGAATCGGTGTATCCAGCTGATCGTTAAAGGATTAAAAATGATACTCGTTAAAATTATTTAAAATTATAAGCATCAAATGTTTCATTTAATTTTTCCTTTAATTTTCTTTTTTATAACAATTATTTTTAATTTCAATAACGTTTGATATTATCGATTTAATTTAACTTTTCGTTAATAATCGTTGAATCGTTAACTCACCAGGCAAACGAGTTATATTTCTCATCGTTGGGTATCTGTTAACAAGCTTCTCGCGTAGATGGGTCCTCTCGCAGTGGCACTGATAATTGGTGATTACGATCGTGGTTGTCGCGAATGCGAGGAACAACCTTGACCCCCAGGTTGGTCCTGTCGACATCGTCCACCGGTTTTCGCATCCCCCGAAGCTTTCGATGTTCAACGCGGAATCTTGATATTCGCTGACGTGACACCACTGGGGGGATCGTTTTCAAAACGATCGCAAATTGTCGTACTTGTCCGTCTGAAACACGGACAAAATTATTCACGACGGAATTCTATTAAAAAAAAAAAAAAAATGTAAAATGACAATTTTTATACGATGCTTGATCTACTTGCAAAAATCATTGAAAATAATCAATTTGAATATATCACGAATAAATGTCAAATTAAATTTCTCTCCCGCGTAGAAATTTAAATTTATACAAAAACAAGAAAATCAACAATACTTATCGAAACATATTTTCTATATTTTCATTAATAAATTATTACGATGGTAGAAATTTGATTTGATATATACATACATGTATATATATATATATATATATCAATAGATTAAATTTATAATTAAAAGAGAATTTATTCGCAGTTAGTTTTATTTGAAAATAACGAAAAAAAAAAAAATACGTGTTATGAAATTGATTGAGGATCCAAATTTAAATGGGGATAAAAATAGTAAGGATAATAGAAAGAAAAAAGTAATCATCAGTGTCCTTTAATCTTTTGACATTGATAGAGGTAATGATAGGAGAGAACATCCATAGACACACACGTAGGGAATCGATCTGAAATGCGGCTACAGGTGCGAGTGACGTACAATACGGTCTATCGTTGCACTCGGATAATAACAGTTGCACTCGTAGCGCTTGGGCACTCAGGGGGCTCGTCTCTCGACATTTAAATTATCGAAGGGAAGTGCACAGGCGTTCGATATTTTAACGTCAGTTTCACGCAGTGGGTTTAATAGTCTACTTCAACGATTACGCGTTGGCTGTGACGCGAGTCACCAGATAAACGGTTCAAAAGTCAATCAACGTAACTTAAAAGCTTACACGCTTCAAGAGATTTAATGAGGGAAGAAAGATCGTAACAAATTTTAAGTCTCGTAATTCTTATTTCTTTCTCTTTTTTTCTTTTTTTATTTTTTTTTTTTTTATTTTTATTTATATCGACAGGTGTTTAATAATACGATCAACGTTACACGATGTTTTATTTGTTCTTTTTATATATTTTTATATTCTTCCCATTCGCAAACACAGATTGGAAATTTATGATATTCGTAAAATAAATATCGTTCGATTGTACGAAAGAATAATTGGTTAAAAAAATAAAACAAATACAAAATGTACGAATATTTATATTTAAAAAAAAAAAGAAACAAAAAAATTAACAAATATTTGACAAGGGAATAATGTTAATATGCATAAGAGGTAACACAAGATTTATATATCAGCAATCCTCATTTATTTTTTTCGTACATCTACATTTTTGAGGATTACATTTGTCAGTTGACTTTACTTTATCGATATATATTACGAAGTTACTTTTTCTCTGGTAGTGAGAAAAATTCCTGTTGGTTTTTACCTTTCGATGGTGTGCGAATAAACAAAGATGGATGAGTAAGAAAGGAAGAAAGAAAGAGAACGGCTCGACGGTTATTTGGCCGAGATACAAGTGCACATTCATTGAAGTATACATAGGTATACATGTATACCTATCGATATAACCTACAAAATTCAACCCTACCATCCCTTTCTCTTTCGACGTGCCGTGATCCATTGAAGAAGCATTCGTAGCTATCGGCCTATCTCTTTTCTCCGTTTTTCAGCAAGCATCAACCCAACCCCTCCTTCTCATCCTCCCCGAAAAAAGAGTTTGGAATTTTATTCAACTTTCCTATCGAAAGACGATACGAAAGTTTCTATGCAAACGGTCGTTTCTTTTTACACCCCATTCCTTTCCTTATTCCTCCTACGTATCTAAAAAGGACCTTTGCGATTTCTCTTTGAACATTCCATGTAGATGGTTTTGCTCTGGTATCGGCTTAAGTAAAAACGAAAAGTAAATCAAATCTACGTTTACCTTCGTAATATTTACATCTATGTATGTGTGTCTATGTATCAGTCGTTCTATTTATATTTTTCCTTTTCTTTTTTTTTATTAACAAATTATTTTTAAATAATTAAATGAAACAAAAAGAAAAACACGGTGTTATAAATAACAATCAAATATCATATTAAACTTTTTCTGTCATTTTCACTTTTATTTTACTTTTTAAAGATGGCACGTGGCAAATGACGTTATTCCAGTTGGCAATATTTTTGTTTGTTTTTTTTTTTTTCAGCTTAAAGTTCTCGCAAAAGTTGTACATATAAACGTTTCTCGAGCCATTGCATTCGTCTGTATTTCATTCGTTCGCCATACATACCTATTTGTCTCTTATTCTCTTTCTCTTTCTCACTCTCTCTAACTCTTTTTTCATTTCCTCTAATTTCTCTTTTTCTACTTCACATTTTCTCCTACGTCTATTATTCCAAGCAAGTGGTTGCACATTGTAACGTCGCAAATATAATTTATTCCACCAGCTCACGCAAATATACACCGAAATATATTATTATGTTTGTTCATTCTCGTTGACTATTTTAAATCACGAAAAAATCTTCTTTCATTCGTTCTTGTTATTTCAAGTGATTCTATTTTTTATATTTTCTTTTTCTTGAATATTTTCATTGTCAATGATTTTGTGATCACTTGGATAGAAGTAACTGGAACGTATCAAGTTTCGTTTGAACGTTTCGACAAACGAATCGATGCAAGAGAAGAAAGGACGATCAAACATTTTGTTGGTCGGCAGACTTTGAGAGGCGTTTGATCGCGTTTGATCTTATTTGATGATCGTCCTCTCAGTGATATGTATGTCTGTGTTGTGTGTGTATGTGTGTTGTAGAATTTGTCTTCTCTTTCTCTTTATCGACACGACAACGAAATTAATGAAATGACTTTGATGAAACTCATTCGATAAGAAAGAACAATTTCACGTCATTGTGATAACAAACAAACCCTTCTTCGTTCCTAGGATTAAATACACCATAGAACACGGTGTTTCCTTTGTTTGAGTTTGTTTCAACTTTGAGTTAGATTGCGATTACAGTAGTGTAGGGACATGAATGTAAATTTGATGGTAACTTAATTAGGATTTATCATTTGAAAATTACTTCTAACGTTTATGAAATGTTAATAGCCGAATGTGGACGAAAATATGTTTTATCTACAATTATAATTTATAGTAATAAAGTATATTTTATGTTGTGTTTTTTATTTGTTTCAACAAAATTAAATTCGTATTCAAAATAAATGATTAAATTTCAAGGGATTAAATTAGCGTTAGTAAAAGTTACAAAAAAGGCTCGAGGGAAAAATTTTCTACAACAATTCGCGAATATTAATTTGAAAGTTAGTAAATTCTATAGGTGTTCCAGTTTCAAGGGAAATAAAGGGAAAGAAGGTGAGAAGAGGGGTAGTAACATCACGCGAAAAGAGAGAGAGAGAGAGAGAGAGCTTCTAATCAATGAGAAAGTAAAGCCAAGGCACGATTCAGCTTTAGAGTTTTGAATCTGTGTTGAGAGATGTCACGGAATCGTTATAGTATATATTCACGATCAACACTTACAAACTTATATATAGTAAGTTCTTTGAATACTTTCCTTAAAAAAAAAAAAAAAAAAAGAAAATGTATTCGACATTCGGCTAGCGTTTCATGACATTATTAATACGTGTAAGTTGTTGGTGTTGTATGCATATAAATGTGCATAACTATGTAGTTTTTACATACTGCACGTATAAAAAAAACCTTAATTTAAGAGATGATAACGTAGCTTCATTTTTCATCAGAATATTGCTTCGTGTTATTCATTAATTCGAAACGAAGTTACGGTTGTATTTGGGTATACATAAATGCATAAGTATAGCAGCATTCGCGTGATAAAAAAACAAGAAAAGAAATAAAAATCAAGGAGTTACCTAAGCTCGTTATATTTAGGATCGAAGAAAAGTTTGTGTTACATGTACATCAAACGTTGATCTTTTATAAGACTCAAGATATCTCATTGAGTGAGTAAGAAGGAGAATAAAGTATATAGTAAAGTAATAGCAAAGCGATGACTAACTTTTCCAGTTTCCTGTTTCAAGTTCCAAGCGTTAAAACCCTGCGTGCAGTCGTAAAGCGAAAAGCAGCAAATTTCACGACTTCGTTCAGAATAACGTATATATATATATATATATATATATCTATCGACACACTAATACACATAAAATAAGCTCCGCCCTTTCATTTCAAAATAAACGCACCACCGGTTGCCTCATGGTCTTCAACATAGTCTACCTATTGTATTCGAATAACGAAGTAAATGCATTTGCAATGCAAACATTACGATCTTTGAACAAAACTCGTGTACCGCAACCGATCAACTTTTACTTTTCATTCTATCTTTTTTATTTCATTTTTATCGAGAGACATTTTTTTTTTTTTTTTACTAAGATTTCGTATTTTGTTTTAAATCATAAATTTTTTGTTTTATTTTAATCTCCTTCGTTTCATTTAAAATTTGATACGTCGTTCAATATTCGAACGTAAACAACAATAACGTGAAATTCATAAATAAACAGAAACTGATTACTAATCATCTTAAATAAAACAATAAACCGGTTGATTATATTGTTGGGAATGAAACATTTGCATAGCTCTTCGATGATGATTTTGATCCAGGGATAGAAGAAAATCAATCGTGCAAATATTTCAACTAAATATCGAATATTCAGTTCACGGTAATAAAACTCTCGCATTCATTGAAGCATCCCTATTGGAATTGATTGACAAGCAATTATATTATTATTCATTTCGCATATCGTTTTTCTATCGGTTAAATGTCAACGTCGATGTCGATCTACTCCTTTCTTTATTTCTATAATTTCAGCTCTATCAAAGTCTCGTGTTTATTTTTTTTTTTTTTTTTAATATATTTTAAAAACTTATCTACAAATTCTTTTTCTTTGAAAATAATCAAAATTGTATATTTTAAATAATAAATGTGTTTCCATACCTATATATTTATTTATCTATTTTATTCGTAAGAAAATAAAACACGGATTTTATTTCGAAGCTTTCGTTTACGTTTTGTATGTCATGATTTTTTACCTGAAACACTGAAGCACAAAAAAAAAAAACAGTGTAAAACAAAAAACAAA